CAATTAACCATTGGTTCCTCTCAGTACAGTGCATTGTCATATATTGGCACTTAATGATGCTTGCATACATGTAATAAATGCTTACCGATTGAGTCCACCCTACAGATCTTCGCAATTGCGCCTTTTTTCGTTACCATTTCTTAAATATAAATGCACCGAAATTTCTTAGAAATTCTACTGCAGACAGCTAACAGATAGTCCATTTTTATACGGTGCATCTTAATATATTGGCAGTAATTACATTTTAGCAACCGTAAGAGTATGATTGGATGCGTTCTCCCAATGATTTTTTACGATGTACCCTTTTCCTTCACCATTAGCTGCAAAACAAATGTGCTTCCACCTAGCTCCCAGGCACAAGCTCCTTGAGTTCGGGTCTGGAGATTAGATGAGTGACCACTCAGCACTTCCTGTGAATTTTACGTTGTGTGCAACCATATGGTCATTTTCCTTTTGTCAGTAGGTGCAAAGTCGATCACGAATATTTCACATGAAACCTTCATCACGTAGGCCATCTGCATACCCTGTATCGCCATAAATCATACTTGAATTCAGCCTGCCATACAAGCGATAAATGATCGCAGGTTCGGCCCATCACAAACATCAGCTGGTTTTTTTCAACGATGACACACATTATTACCAGTTATGAAAGCCTTTCGTAAATAATTCTCAGGAAGACCTGATCCATTTTCATAGGATGTACCTCCGTAAAGTGTCCGGCATGACAACTTACCCGAACAGTAGTTAACCTTCAGCGATTGTCTCCACCCATCACATAATCTGAACAGAATGAGAACGTAGAGTCCTTCGGTACGCATTTTCTGGGGTGCTGGTGTAGTCAAGCACGTTCCGCCTTTGTGCTGCCTTCGGCATTTACAGGCTTAGCAGACTACACGGTCGTAAAAAGGGTGAATACGAGCATCAAGTTTTTATGACAACGATGTCTTGGATAATGTTATTGTGCGTGCAAATGGCAACGTGTTAGTTTCAGTGTGCATGCACTAGCATATCTCTACAAGTTTTTAGAGAGGCTGATTCCATCCGTTCTTTTCTTGCATCGCTCTTTCCCCTGTTCGGCGATCGTTATTACCGTCATCTTCAACATCATGACTAACCTGACTACGCCCACGCCTGGTCAAAGGCGTCTCTGATCTCCAGCCGATGAACGTGGTCCTGTGCTTGGTGCAGTGTTGTTACATCTTAAACTTCTTAACCTTGTCGGCCAACTCAACTTCATGCCTCTCTTTAGTGTTATCGCCTTCTTTTGGAATTCTCTTGGGGAATAGTGGTTAGATTCTCTTCTCGATACGGGCCGATGTCTATTCCTTCCTATTAATCTAAACGAAGGGGTCTTTAAACGATGTTTCTTACCTGACCAGCTCTGCTCTCTAATTTGCTCTTAAGTTTACATCTCATGATTTTCTTTTCAAGACTCGTGGCTTGTGGCATCGTTCTCAATTCTACTCTCACCCGCTTTATAAGCCTCCGGGTTTCTGTGTAGTAAGTACCGGTAAGGTCCTGCTCTTTTATACGTTTCTCTTGTTTGATACTGATGAGCTATTACTAAGTATGAACTGAGAATGCCTGCCAATTGCACTCCACCACATTCTATTCATACAGTTAATTCAGTGACATAGTTGGATCTGGAGGCATGGTTGTGCCCAAGCAGAAATATAATTTTGCCACTTCCAGTTCATCGCTATTTGTCGCAAAGCGATGTTCTCTTACGAGGTACGAAGTTACACAAAATGACGTAAACTTCTTCACCATACTTCTCAAAAGACTTCTTGAAGCGTTGACGGTGTCTTTAGCGCAGAGTGACATGTGCTTTCGGTCACAACTTGTTCAACCATCGACTAGTCAACAACTATGAATGATCAGCGTTGTTAGGGGGTGGTAGGTGGGCTTGCACCAGGCCAACGTGCAAAATGCGTTGTGTTTGGGACTATGCGAGTGCTGTAGAGCCACAATACTGCATACTCTTTAAAAGAAGTACCCTCTCTAACATGTGCTCTTTACTAGTACCTGTGTGCTGAGAAGAGCCGAAATTGGCTGTGACAGTAGTGCTTGAACTTGCAACAGCCCCACTTGGCTTCTGGAGGTGCGCCAGAGTACAATGAGATTACAGCAGCACGACTCAAAGAAACAAAAACCATATTTGCATAGCTCCTGCTGGAATAGTCTGCCGAAGGTAACGGCAATAATGGTGCCCGAGTAAGAAGTGGCAGTGCAATGCCATCCGAGTTGTTATACAGACGTTTCTGGAACTCCACCAACTCAACTTGATAGTCTTGAATGTAAACATTCGATAAATGTCTGGTTGGGTATGAAAATTGGGAAATAATTTAAACTTAAACCAAAAGTTTTGAAAAAACCCAGAAAACCCGACATTTTGGAACTGACTTGGTTCATTACTCAGGAGAAACTGGGACTACGTAGTAGAGGCGTCTTCAAAGCACTCGCGGGGTGGTTATTGACCTCTCTCTCTCTCTTGTTTGCCGTGGAGCACAGTTTATGTGTATACATGGGGAAGGGTTCCAAGAGAGCGGTGATGTTTTGGGCCGTTCGCTATATATGCCACGACTACTCGAGTCATGACATATACATTAATATATTCCCTGAAACTTCGAGGAAAAATTGTCGCGGTCGTATCTCACTCGTCGTTAGTGGCTCTGGTAACCGGAACTGCTTTTTTGGGGTGTACATTCGAAGAGTAATGGAAAAAAAGGTAATGGAGTGTTTGAGTGTTCAAGAGAATTTATATACACTGACTATCGGCTTTGGCTCACTCCAAAATTTCACACAATTTTGACTTCCTTGGGTTCTCTTGATAGAGCAATCGAATCCTCAAGTCTGTGATCACATAATAGTTATACCGACACCCTCTCAATCGGATATTGATTACTTTTTCGCCTCCAGCAAATGTATCTATGTTATTTTTGTGCTAGCGAAAACGTTAGCAGACTTGAAGATCAAGCGTGTAAGAGCAGCAGTTTTCCTGCATCAATTGTGTAAAGCTGCAACATTTACCGCCGTGATCTTCGTCACCTTGAAAAAGCACCTGATGCCATTTTTTTTTTTCGTAAAGCTCTATTTCAGACGAACAGTGCATTTCGTCGCCAGAGTGTTTGTAGGTAATCGGCTCATGTGCGCAGTTTTCACTCGCTCAAATAGTGACACATCCTGAACATTCACAATAGTGAAAATACGGCGAGCAACAGAAAGCAAAAAGGCCCGACTTGCGCGCACCCTATATACTTCAGTGTGTGTTTGTTCCATCCTCAAACTGTCACACCCTAAAAGGTTAGCAAAGCATTTCCATATTTCAAAATTTGGCTTATTGATGATGCCACCATTTAGCAAACTTCACAGATGCTTTTTCAGAGTGTCAATGAAGCAGAAAGTACAAATAAAGAGCAGTCCTTGCTTGGGAAAGTTTGAAGTTTGATTAGCTTTATTTCTTCAAATGCACCGGGGTGTTACACATATCTCAGTTCACTAAGCGTGTACACTTTTTGCTGTAATTGCACCATAAAACGTGTCGAACAATGATAACTATGTACTTATAACAAAACTACGTATGCAACTATTTTATTGGCCGTTCACCTCCGCTGCGAATATTTTTTTTTTCGGAGAGACACCGCAACTTGGCGAAACGGGCGATGTACTCTGCTTGGCAGTCCACGCATATTCTATGTGATGACACCTTAAAAGTAACGTAAAGTGAAAATTCCGCTGACAAGAATGGATGACAAATACGAAAAATAAGTGTAAAGGGGCAAGAAAGAAGCGCCATATCCACTACTTTGGTGCTCTTGAAGAACTACAAAGGATACATTGTTGGCGAATAACAAACCGCTCTTTTAAAAATATTTTTAACAGTGAGAGCCTTAATATTGACAAAATCAATTTTTCTAATATATTCAAGCTGACTGCGTAAGCTGAAACAGTGGCTTCTATTTTGAAAGCACACTGATTACCTTTCTCGCGCAAACGAATTTTAGCCAATAAAATAGAGCTCCCGTCTAAGAAATCTCGTGTATAATCCCTCGTTATTTCACGCATATTTTGCTACATTCGGCCGATAATCATTGTTCATTCTTGTAAAACCACTTCCCGTTGTGCCAAAAATAAGGTCTTCCTTGAGTGTTACTGTGCGCATCCCTGATATAAACAATGCCTACTGTGCTTTTAATAAAAATCGCAGACGTGAAGGCTGACTCCTTACGTTTCCGATTGGCATGGCAGCTGCAACCACTGAGAAAATGCATAAACAGATATTTTTGGTACCATGACATCATTCTTCGAAACGGGAAAATCAGAACATTATGTAAACAATTGATGAAATCGGGGCGACTAGGAAGGTAAGCAGCTGCTTGAGAGCTTAGCCTTTTTATCTTCATCTGCTGGATCAGTGAAAGGCAGCCGCTGTTCGGTGCGGGAAATCTCATGGACTTAATAATGGTGTGATAAGAAATATATGAACATGAAGTACGAATCCTTCGCCGGATTATTAAGACGAACGCCTTTAGATTACTCATCAAAAGTGAAAACTGACCATCGGCGTCGCGACGGATGCACAAAAAAACTGCCCGTGATGACGTCACCAATGGCGTCATCATGACGTGAGAAATCGATATAACTTGTGACGGCATGATGAAGCCATTGTGAGATCATGAACGGGACGCCACAGTATGACGTCAATGCATGACATCGTCGCTTGGTCGAAGTTGGGCTGATCACGGAAGCAATGGCAAACAAAGCAGGTGCAAGAAGCTTTGAATAGTTACTGTCCTGGAGGCAGTGCAAAATCACGGTTACACTTTAAACAAGTCAGCCCTCTCAAGGGTGCTGTGTCTATAACTAACACCCTACAATAGGAGTGTTTAAATTGTACCCTTAAGGGTGCTTTGTTGTGCCTACGGCTAACGCCCATAACATGGGTGCTTTGGTCTTTCAAAACACCCTTACCGTATGGTGTTATAGACACGGCATGCCCCCCTAAGGGTGCAAACTGGCTTATGGTGTAGGTACAGAAATCTCTTATAAATTGCTGAGGAGGCTCAATACATGGAATCAGAAGAATAATAAGAAGACATCTCTCACCCTCGAGTCGTCTGCAGCAAGGAGCATGCAAGTTCCTTTGAGTTGCACTGCATGAAGTATTACGTGGATTATTGACAATAGAACCACGAAAGTAGTGCAGATTTCGTTTCCACAACTGCATACTACACCTGATGGTAGTTTTCGCTCCTTTACATCAACTTGGGAGTCGCAGTTTGAACACCGTTAGTTAAAAGGTGCAGTGAAGTCTGAGTGTTTCAGCACCTAATCTCTTTTTACACAATTAAGCGTGTGCTTGCGACAAACTTCTTTCACGCTCATTTTCGTGACCTCTACTGACATCGCAATGTAACAGAGAAACAGTGAGAATCCACGACGCATGCAAGGCTGTAAGCGCAGAAGCGAATGAGCCTGCCATGGGCGGAATGTCGACGGGGAAGGACACAAAGCCAGTGACATTGCCACCATCCTTGAAGGTGAAGTTGAAGGTCTTCATCGTATTCTGAAATGTGGAAACACAAGAAACGTTTATCAGTGCTCAGTATTTTATGAATGTGGTATTCAAGACTGCCCTATAGGGCAGCCACTCCTGGACATGTTATGCCGAAGTAAAGATTGAACAGCACCAAAGCCAGGCTGTGCGCCTACTTTGGTAACTGTAGTCTGCTATTGTAATTGTGCACTGGCTTTTGCTAAATAGTGGTGTAAAATCGGAGGAGGTCCTTCTATATAAAGTCCACTCTTCAATAGTCTTGATCAAAAAAGTGCATTTGAAATCGTAAGGCTTTCCAAGCAGTGTGACCTGAACGTTTGCGGGAGTGGAGACTACCTATAATTTTGCCCGAATCTTCTGCCACAAATTTATGTCCATCTTTTTATTAGAATAGCTATTCTATTTACACTTGCTTTGCATTTTCGCCCGGCGAAAATGCACAGCGAAGGAGCAAAAAAGCGAACGTCATGGCGAAATTCGCTATCACGTTCCGTATAAGGGCTGCATCAATGTGCGTGTGAATGAAAGTTTAAAAACCTGGCGGTGGACACGGCTTCCGGAGATATGATACGCGCCATTGTGTCCACAACTGTGACATAGCACTGCTTGTCGCGCGTTAAATGTGTGAGTGAAAACTTACGAATGTTACCAACGGACACAGCTGAACAAACCGTTAAGGGTGACTGGATGTTCCACACGAAGTCCAAAACGATAACATCTCACAACGCGTCGAAATGTTCTGTTTGCGAATGAAAATTACGAAGGCAGCCAATAGGCGTCACTTCAGTGGAGATGAAATGCGCCGGCCGGCTACTTGAGGGGAATGAGAAAGGAGGATGCCAGTGAAAGGGGAGGGAAATCTGGGTTTTAACAGCGAACTTTCATCACATGGGTGTAGTCGCGCGCGCACTATCTCGACACAGATTAGCACATTGACCACACCTTCATAACGAATGTGCTCACATTGCTAATTTTGCGTTGAAGTAAAGAAAGCTGCTTCGCTGGCTGGAGCGGCAATATTTACTTACGCCAGGGCTTTGTACAATGGCTCTAGCCAGCATTATGAAGGACTTCACTGCTAACCTCATTTCGTTTAACATTCTAGATAATTGCTATTGCGTTTATTACTTTGTCTCTGTTACTTTTAATTCTGCTCGTAAGTTTGCGTAAATAAGTGCATCAACTCACTCCTGAAGTCAGGTACTTGTTTTTCGCAAGGTCCAGCGTCATATTGACAGGGTACTTTCCAACTGGAATGGGGCATGTGTTATTCCATGCCTTTGTCACCTCCTCCTCCATGGTAGAGTTGCCATCGCAGAGGTGGTACAGGCTTAAAATCGAAATAACAAAGATTTCATTATCTTCGAAAAAAATAGGTAGGAACATGCTGGCACACAAAACGTAGACAACATCCTAGATTACGTGGGCCCCCCATGCTTTACAGGCGTCTGCTGAAATCTCAGGAACTGGCACATCTGACGAGTAATGTGACGCTGGGAATTTCCACGCGTGAGGTGCCCTTCCGCTGGCACCGTTAAAATATCTATATAGTCACCTCATTCTTCATATTTTTATAGCACTGCAAATATTTATAGCACTGGAAAACGGCTTTAATGGGCGTGATACTCAATATTACTTGTAAAATTATTTTTTATGAATCATCTAGAATACAGAAAACTGAAGCGTATGGTTAATTGCTGATATAGGAAGCACCCAACACTGTCCCCGATATAGTGGTCACCGACCAACACAAACCAATAAAATAAGAATCATCCTCAGATTACAGCCACCTTCTGTATAACACCACGCGTCAAAGAGCATTAATAAGAACTCCACTCGGAATATATGACTAGCGAATCGAAGCGTTTCCTATCTACCCTTACCAAGAACCAATGTCGTCAAGGCACGGTATCGAGGACTCCACTCCGTTCTCAGTAATATTCACACCGAGCGTTGGATGAGTTTTCAACGACACTGGTAACGTCGATGTGGAACGACACGTTGAGGGTGTTCTTTCCGAGATCGCTGGCCACGGTGACGTTGAATACGGTCACTTCGTTGCTGATGGTCACATTTTGGCCTACCTGTGAGAGAGAAGTTGTATTTTAGCCTTGTATTAGGTGACTTTCAACTCAATTTCGATTTTTATTTCCCCAATAACGGTGATATCCTCGAACAAAAAAGAGTATTATTTTCACTAGACGAACATTGGGGCCCCCATTGCAAGGCGTACAAGGAGGGAAATAATTAGATCATGTAAGTATGTATGACTTGCAGCAAGGGAGCGCGTGGCCTTATTTATTCAAATGTCGCGCATGGTTTTGACTTGTTGGTATTTCAACAATTGAATATTATTTTCTCATTTGGTGTTATACTCGAAATAGAAAAGAAGAGTTTAGCATTGAAGATAAGGTCTAGTGAAAGCTACGAACTCGTGAGGCCACTCGCTCCCTTGTTGCGAGTTATATTGAGCGCGACTATGTGCATATGGCATACTCACTGCGACTTGCAACACGATGGCGCTTCAAATACTGAAAATAGGTTATTTGCATGTGGTAATTGAAACTAGTATGGCCCCGCCGCGGTGGTGTAGTGGCTAAGGTACTCGGCTGCTGATCCGCATGGCGCGGGTTCGAATCCCGGCTGCGGCGGCTGCATTTTCGATGGAGGCGGAAATGTTGTAGGCCCGTGTGCTCAGATTTGGGTGCACGTTAAAGAACCCCAGGTGGTCGAAATTTCCGGAGCCCTCCACTACGGCGTCTCTCATAATCATGAAGTGGTTTTGGGACGTTAAACCCCACATATCAATCAATCAATTGAAACTAGTATGAGCGCAACACAAAAAAAGAAAGAATCAACACGAATTTAATGCGATAGTGTTAAATACCTCGTTTCGCAATAATTCCGGTGTTGGCGTCGTTGGTTGTGAGCGAAAAATTATCATCTTTCGTGACCGAAAAATTGAGAGATATGCAAATAAATAAAAAAATTTGGTTTTTACTGTGTATCCGCCGAGTTAATTGCGAGGCAAGCGAGTGTTTTAAAAAAAACACTCACGCCTCTGCTTGTGAAAGTAGTGCTTGTAATACGCATTAAAACAGAATATTGCTATCACGTAAACACAAAGCTTAACGGTCCCTCGATTTCGAAAAGATAAAAAATAATCCGTAGAAATGCGTTTCGTAACAGGTAAATTTGCCTCAGTGTTAAATCAGTTCGTAATCAGGCATTTGATACAATTAGTATACTGCACACAATCGCTTACACCGTTATTTGTTAGTTATGTCAATTGCTGGTTAATGGAGCGTACTTGACAATACTGCAAACATACATCCAATGCTTTGTCTACCTCATTTGTTCCTTGAAAAAAAGGCGCTTGCCTATACTCATTGTTGTACGTGGGTACCGGATGCTTTGGTACGCAATAAATATTTATTCATGTCCAATCGCTCACTTCACAACTCTGCCACAGGCAAGGTTAACAAAACAAGTTTGCGTGGCTGGACTTGTTCGTAATTATCACACTTACTGGTACTCGCTTTAGTGTTAGGTACACTATTAGGTGTTCTGTTGCGTTTGAATAATACTACAGAGCTGGTATTGAAACTTTCTTATCCAAAAATATTCTCTATTTGGTGCCAAACCGCGTTTTAAAGTGCGCATTCCATAGGAGTCCCGGTATTTTTTTCAATCATTATTCCAATAAATGTGAACAATGTTGAAGCGTTATAATGACAGTGTACACAAAGGCGGATAAACTGTCACGTCATTTCTTAAGCGTTTCACCCCCTTCGGTAATGCATCACCTTGAAGTCCGAACTGCAGCCCTACTCAGGTACATTGCAACAAATCAGATTTTTTTGAGTACCACGAGACCCTAAGAAAGCTCCCCATACTCTTTCATTTTGCAATTTTCGCTGTTATACGCCTGTCGAAGGAAAATAAAAATATGCGTATTAAATGAGGCATTTTGTTAGAAGCACAGGTGTGCATGGTTTAGTATCAGAGGCCGTTCCGCCACCATATTGAATTTTGAACCTCCTAGTCGCCTAAGCGTAGCGCCAAGTTTGCCCCAGACCTTGGCCCAATGAGACCTGTTCTCTCAAATCTTATGCAGCGGGGTTAAGGAGACTCGAACTTGTCGTTATATCGCAACCGAGGGCCCTCGATGTGACATTCCGGGAACATCTCACTACCTACATTGGCCCTGTTGGAAACTGCAGGTGCATGGTGTGGACGGATAGACGAAGATGACGAGTAGTGAAGATGAGGCTTGTTTAGTTTAGGACTGTTATTTTTTTTTTCGTACGCCATCTTAAGGACGGTATTGCGCTGAGCACGAATAGGCGCTGCGGAGAGATTTTCCACATCACCTTTGGTGTCAAAACCTGGGACTCTACTTTTTTTTAGGGTAGGATTGCGGCTCGTCTTTTTTTCAGCAGACCCCCTAAAGGCAAAGCCTATAGATTCATTGATTGGTATGTTGGGTTTAACGTCCCAAAACCACCATATGGTTATGAGAGACACCATAGCGGAGGGCTCCAAAAATTTCCACCTCCTGGGGTTCGTAACGTGCACCCAAATCTGAGCACACGGGCCTACAACATTCCCGCCTCCATCAGAAATGCAACCACCGCAGCCGGAATTCTATCCCGCGACTTGCGGATCAGCAGCCGAGTACCTTAACCACTAGAGCGGCAGTATTACAAAATCTCCGAGATACGTAAATTCGTCAATACTGACTCGCACTGTGCATCGTCCCACCAGAGAGAGGAGATGGCCTGCTGCCGTACGTATCTGGGACCCAGCCCACTGGGTAGAACTTGGCGCTTCATTACAATTTTTGTATTTTTTCTAGGCTTTTTTTTTTTCAGACCTCACCAGCTACCAAGGGAGTGAGGATGGGAGCTTTGGTGGAATGTGCACCCTCACCCTTGATGATCAAGCCATCTCACGCATTTGACTTTTATATCATGAAACCACTACATCTTCTGAAACGCCAGTTCTTCGATGCTATCGCGTTAGAACGTTGATATAATTGGCCGTTTCAAATGCCACTCACCCATACGCATAGTCAGCATGGGAACCTGTAGGCTGGATGCCGAAGTCGCTCTTGAAGCAAAAACAAAGGCGCACACCAGGGCCAGCAACATCATGATTTGGGATTTCGACTTTCACGGTCCGTAAAATCGTCAAAATACGAGCAAAAAGATCATCCAGTTCCTATGAAGATTGGCTGATCACTAGGAAACTAGAAAACATGTCGCGACTGGCTGATTCCACGACCAAGACCTGACTTTTCCTAACTGCGCATGCGCACACAGGTGTTTTCAAAAGCGCCATAAATCAGTGTGCGTTTCCGCCCCTTCTTATGACTCACAAGCTCGCACATGCCGACGAGCACATGCAAGCTATTTGGTGGGCCTGCAGCGCATACCGGGATGCTAGACAAGGCTACAGCTGGATTCATCTCCAGCAAAGCAATCCTAGTGGGCTCTTTTTGTTTTTTCTAAAATATAATTTCCTGTACTATGTATCATATGGACAAAAGTAATAAACAAGAGCCATGATATCACGGCTGAGCTGTAATGGAAAAAAAATTTCCCTGGGCCACGCACGTGGTATTCGTCAGAAAGTTATACACATCAAACAGTAAACCTGAACTGAAATTCGAAAGAAAAAGAGTTACGAAGGGACCGAAAGCGGCAGCAAAGCGGAATTCAATGTTGATGTAAAGTGGTGCAAGATTTTTTGATTGGCCCCAACTTTATGGCCCCTGCCGGAAAACCCCTCTTTATCTCATAATTTTGCTGTGTTTTTTTTTTGGAGGCCGTGCTTTGCATAGCCACACAGATGTAATATAGGCATTGCCAGTGATTGTGTAATGCAGACATTCGATTACTTAAAAAAGGAACCACGTATTCAATATTCAATGTGTTTAAGGGACACTTAACAGCTCCATCAACGTGATATCTCGAACGGTGCGAATCACCAGTGTTCCCCACAAGTACTCGTAAATAGTGATAAAGACACAGCATCTTCTCATTCCATGAACAACGTCGCAGATATCGCCTAGCATCCATCACAGACATCGTCCGTCACTGTAAAATAACATTTCTTGCATCAACGCGCTGCCTTCTTTGCCACAAGAAGCAGTATGCCTATTGCGTCGTCCAAACTTGTCAAAATTAAACTTGTCCGAAATGAAACCGTTCATTTTGCCGAAGTTGTGGTGGCGCAGATAGCGGCGAACAGAGCGTCGGCTGTCTATCAACTAACAAGGGGCGAAGCGCGTCGGCAGTTATACATGTGCCGTCGAATATTCCAGCCTTATCACTGGTCGTCCCGCATGCTCTGGAATAATATCGTGTGTTCGCGTCTTGCACGTAGTCTTAACAGAACAATCTACACTAATTATCATAGATAGATAGATATGTGGGGTTTAACGTCCCAAAACCACCATATGATTATGAGAGACACCGTAGTAGAGGGCTCCGGAAATTTCGACCACCTGGGGTTCTTTAACGTGCATCCAAATCTGAGCACACGGGCCTACAACATTTTTGCCTCCTTCTAAAACGCAGCCACCGCAGCCGACCTACAATAATTGCGAACCTGTATCGCCTTTGACTGGGAGTTGCTTTCACGAAAGCTTATACCACGTTAATCGGAATTACTGACAGTGCAGCGTGAGATGTTTGCGGCACCGACGAAAATATCGAACACCTGCTGTGTCATTGTCCTCGATTTGCCTCAGATAGACAAGTACTAGCTAACGCAATGCGGCGACTGGATGATCGGCCTCTTTCTGTGCAGGTGCTATTATACAGCAACGTCCACATGCCTGGACAGCCCACAAGGCAGTGAAAGCCCTGCTGTTTCCTGAGAAAGACAGGCTTGTGTGAACGCCTCTGACATGCGGTAGAGTTCTACACGCTGCTGTGAAATTACTGTCAGTCTCTCCCCCACCATTTTTCTTTTCCCTCTCTTCCCTCTTTCTCGTCTTTCTTGTCCCCTTCCCTAATCCCCCAATGTAGGGTAGCCAACCGGATGTCTTTCTGGTTAACCTCCCTGCCTTCTCCCTTTTGTTGCTTCCTCCTCCTCCTTTTCGAACGATGAGGCGCATTCTGCGCTGAGAATTCGTGGCAGACTTTGCGTGAGAAAGATAAGAAACGCACGTGCTACTATATAGCGCGAGGGCAAAAGCAGTTTGCATTACTGCGATATCTTTCACGCAAAGCCGTGGAGACGAAAAATACTGTAGGCCCGTGTGCTCAGATTTCGGTGCGCGTTAAAAAACCCCCAGGAGGTCAAAATTTTCGGAGCCCTCCAATACGGCGTCTCTCATAATGATATGGAGGTTAAGCCCCCCCCCCCCCCCCTCCATATCAATCAATCAATCCACACAAAGCCACTGTTTTCTTTATAGTGGCGGCTTTTGGCTACTATAGCTATTCGCAGCACTTCTTCTTGCTGGAATATGTACGTACTTGTGAAAGTTGTCGCACCTACGCAGAAGTTGCGCTGAAGTGGGTAATGCCTTTCGTGGCCCCCGCTAGCCACCACATCACTGTTTTTTCCCGTGCAATCGGTGCGACCTTGATGCTCCGCAGCGTGCACGAGGTGCGCGCCTTGAAATGCAGCCACCGCAGCCGGGATTCAATCCCGCAACCAGCGGGTCAGCAGCCGAGTACCTTAGCCACTAGACCACCACGGTGGGGTGGCTGCATTTCCGATGGAGGCGGAAATGCTGTAGGCCCGTGTGCTCAGATTTGGGTGCACGTGAAAGAACCCCATGTTATCGAAATTCCCGGAGCTCTCAACTACGGCGTCTCTCATAATCATATCGTGGTTTTGGGATGTTAAACCCCACAAATCAAATCTAATCTTTGCTGGAAGTTACGCTCCACGTGCGCGTGTGTATGTGTATATTAAACTACAAGCACAAAGAAGGCGCCATGGGCAACTGTTCCCGCTGACTGCTGCTTTCTTTTGCTGCTCAATCAGTGTAGACAACTTAACGCATACGCATAGGTTTTCTATTTTTCCAAGCGGGAGGGAGGATTTCTTGATTCGTAGTGAGCGTTCAGTTAACAGACCACGCAACAACGCCTACCATGCGTATTACGTATTCTCTGTTATGATGCAAAACATGCCATAAAAGTTATGAACAACGGAAATTACTATTGCTGAAATTATTACTAGCGTCACTTAATAATGCAATTTGCACGTATCGATGATACAGCAACAAAGAATCAGCATCCCTGGACACTTGCAAGAACTTGGGGTTTCCTAAAGATTTTGGCGCAGGTATGAAGTGAACGCAGCAAGCATGGGGCCGAGTTGAATGGCGGAACATGGGAGAGGCCTTTGCCCTGCAGTGTGTGTCGTAAGAATGATGATGGTAATGATGATAATGTTGTTGATGATGACGCATTTTTCCAACACCGTTTTGAAGCATATAAAGAGACATTCAGGTGTTCCAATAGCACTCTGCGTATTTTTCATTGCCTTTATTTCCCTCCAGATTTTCTATTGTATGAAGAAAAGCTCCTAAATATAATGAAGCAGCTGAACTAACACAATCCAATCAACAGCAAATGCTGTGCATTCAAGCATTTCAATACAGGCAGATTATTTATTTACTCTTTTTATCTGTCTCACCACGGGTGAAATGCCATATAATTTTTTTTCTTCAAGCTTCTTCGAGAACAACATTAAACTTGATGCAGCCAAGGTCATCTTCTGAATCAACATACTCGACCTTAATTTGCAGGTCGGGTCCCTGAAAAAAAAAACAAGCAAAGAGAAGGACTGCATTCAGACATATCCACAAAACATGCTAAAGACCCGTCGTCAAGGTAAAGAATCCTAGGTGGTTGAAATGTCCGGAACCCGTCACGGCGGCATCCCGCGCAATCACGCCGTTATTTTAGGACGTACAGCGCTAATAATTATTTTCGAAACGGGGCTCGAGGCACTGCAGCGCGTAAAACTTTTTTCTCTTCAACACATGAGCACGCGTGAACTAAACTGCTCAACAAAGGTAATTTGTGATGCTAGTTTGGCGCGCATGTAGTGGCGTTAAGTTATTCATGAAATGCTAAAGAAGCGTTCATTTTCGGACACATCAACTTAGACAAAAAATACGGCAACTTTCCGCCACGAAGGAGATGTTAAAACGATAACAAGTTGGAATGTGTTACGAACATGGTGGCTACGAGGTAAGGAAAGCGGCTCTCCACTTTAGGAAACGAAGCCACTGCCGTGAGCGCTTACCTCAAGAAGCTGTTTTGCATCAGCCGGAATCGTGAGGTTGAGATAGGTATAATAGCTGCCAGCTGGAATGGGACACGTGTTGTTCCAAGGAGCACCCATTCTCTTCTCCACCTCCGTTGTTCCACGGCATAGGCTGTAGATGCTGAAATCCCATAAACAAAAAATTAGCCCCGTATCTGCATGTTTCACTGCAAATTGCGTCGAAAGAATATAGTCTTGCGTGTGAAGAGGGTGAAGAAAAACGTTTATTTGATGTTCTGCGCGAGGAAATCGGTGAATTGTATTCTGGAAGCGCTGCGTTAGAGAGTCTCGATCCGTGCAGCGAAGGCGAATGAGTACATAAAGGCACGTTAGACACGAGTGCCATCTGGCAGTTATCTTCGAAAACAGAGGCAGGCATGCGAGCCCGCGGAGAAACAAGCGCGCCTGTTTCGGAGGCGATAAGGAGTAGAGTGCGAAGCGACGGGCAGGTGCCACCACTGTGTCGTTTTGGCAAAACGTTGGAAACAATTGCCTTTTTGAGCATCGCGTTGCACTGTCAGCGCAGCGTGATAAACGCTACGATCCTTAAAATTACTTGCGTGTGCTTTTTCTAGTGTAAAGGCACACATACAAAACATCGAAGTGTTGTTATGGTGCCTCAGATATGTGCAATAATTGGTTTTTAATTGGATATCGCACAAGTTTGACAAACCCTTGTTTAACATTCAGTGCTCGAAAGCCGCCACCATCTGTCTTCGCACAGAGAGTCACTCAAGGCCTCATTGAACTTTTCGCGTGGTATTGGCCTACTGAATAGGCTATAGCACCCCCGCCCTTCTTTCTTCGCACGTCTACTTTGCTCTTTCCTTTCATTCTCATCTTTCTTCCCCCTTCACTTATGTGCACGGTATACCAAACCGGATGCTACAATTCTGGTTGACCTCTCTGCCTTTTTCTCAATGAAATCTACCCATCAAATTTCCACGCTTTATATCGCCCACTTGCCTTATCTGGGAATCCAGTCTGGTACAGTTAAAGGGGTCGTGAATAGAATATGAAGCGGCCTGGTTGTAAGTTTCACTGCTTCGATAAGCATCGAGCTTTCAGCTTGCGTAATGTTTCGGTGCAATATTAAGGCAGTATTTTTTGACGCCCATTTGCAATCTTGGAATTCTTGCGATCCTAAAACGACAATAGATAAAACCGGCTGCTGTATCCACTTAAGCGAGGTGATGTCATCTTAAGACATTTTAAATCGTAAACGTATTCTAAACTTTGCTTGCTCGGAAATAATAAGCATGTACAGTGTTCAAGAAAACCAGAACTAAAATATCAAGTCCGCGCGATAGACTGATAAAATCGTTACTTGGCCGCTCTCTTCGAGCACAGTTGAAACTTTAAATGAATATTTCGGCTTGCAGCCCACCGCTCCAGCACGTCCCCATGCCTCGTTTACTTTGAAAAAAAAACGACACATAATAAAAAGCTACCTGTGAGGCTGTGCCCCGCCGAGGTGGTCTAGTGACTAAGGTACTCGGCTATTGACCCGTAGGTCGCGGGATCGAATCCTGGCTGTGGCGGCTGCATTTCCGATGGAGGTGAAAATGCCGCAGGCCCGAGGGCTCAGATTTGGACGCACGTTAAATAACCCCAGGTAGTCGAATTTTCTGGGACGTTAAACCCCACATATCAATACACCAAGCGTTGGTTGCACTTTGTGGAACAATGTTTGCGTCGACATGAAACAAGGTAAACATTTTCGCACTAACCTGAAACACTATCTCAAGGACGTGTGTTAATATGTATGTCTAATTCAAATATATATTGCCACTCACCTGCATAAAAATGGTGTTGAAACTGCTCTCTATTTACTAAAAATTCTCATTGTGAACTATTGCGTGCGGATTCAAACTAGCTTGATTCTAAAAATTAAGACGCTTTTCATGCACGTATACAATCTTGTATCTTTTCGGTTTATGAAATTCAATTCAATTTTTTATTCAATGCAAACTACTCCTTTACGCGTCTGCAGTATTTATGAAGGATGATACCTTTCTGGTTCGTAACTAGATTTGCTCACCAATCTTCTTAGCCTTATGCCTTTTTTGCAAGCTTACCACGATCCGATGTTCTCGTAGCACGGCACTCCGCCCCCTTCGGCCGTCATTGAGAATAAGGCTAATGGGTCGTCATCCACATCCTGGCTTACTTCTAGAGTGTATTCAAAGGACATCTCTTCGCCGATCGCCGCGTTGTAGATGGTGAGGTCTTTCATCGTGATGACGTCTTCCGAATTTCCTGTTCGTAGAGCAAGCATGAAACAAAGCACCATAGACGAGTTGCAAAAAAAAAAGAATTTGTTGCTGCGCCATCTGTACATATGTACAATAAGCAGCCAGTGTCCGCCATTGTGCATGAGCAGCAAGCATAGTACTTGGATCACAAAGAATGCTCACATGGAAGTGAAACGCCTATCTATCGTTCATACTTCTTTTCACTCGCACGAGTGGCGTGTACTTCCTTGTTCTTTACATTTGTTTTCATGCACAATGGTGGCTCAGCCCAGCGTTGCTTGAACACTTCGGGGCTTTTTCCAGCATGGCTGACGTTTATGCAGCTCGTCAATTAGAGCAGTAAGACCTGCTACTTGGACTGTTGGACTGACACTGGTAAACACTTTTTCAATGAAAGACAGGCTGCATCGCATATAGGGAATCGTTAATACACTCTGCAAGGTGTTCTTGTAGAGACTTATGTTTTTTTTTAATGGTGCACCGGGAAGAACGTCAAAACTACTTTTGCAATGCAGTTATGAATCCAAGGGGCCATTAAGTAAAATATAATCATCGCTACCAAGAGCCTCATTAACTATTATACAATAATCAATTTTTCTAGTGACTGCAGCAAGGGGGCACGTTTTGTAGTGACAAGATGGCGGCAATTACATATCTACGAAGTTCCAGAGGGGTCCTGAAGCACAGAAGTGTCCAGACATCTAGAATGACCCGAGGGCTCATCGTTTTTCTGTCTTCATATCCCCACACACAACCTCCTCACGTGATTATTTCATGAATGAATAAAGTTGTTTGCCTACTGACCACTTAGAAGAATCATTCTAGCATGTCTGCGCATTGAGCCATTTTGTTGCAAATGGTGATCGCGATTTCGATGAAAAGGCATGCAAATCGGTGAGGGTCGGCGCAGTTCTTCCTTCATGTGAGGAGCAGTCATTGCTGCCTACCACCAGCCGGTGGTAAAAGGGTAGCTGTTCTCACGTTCGTGTATACCTTCGATCAAATTGTGAGATTAAACGGCACATGAAATTCCTGCGCGACATCGGGGAGGAGCTTCGCACCAGTGCTCAGTTTTCACTTGCAGCTGGATATCCCGAATCGCCGACGCGCTAGAACTCAAAGAATTCTCGCAAGTGGAAATGTGTGGAAACGCTGCCTCCGAGCTTTCAATTCAAACATGCCCCTTTGCTACAGCCTCTCTAAAGTTAATAGTTCAACCAAGGACTGATGCGGCAGGACAAATTTACTTGCTGGCTCGAGATCTTACTCGCACGTTTGGGTCGTCTACCAGCTTCCAACGGTGTCACTTATATCAATTGGATAGTTCGCTCAAGCTGCCATCTCAACTTTCCTGCTCCGATGCGACACTGTTACTCTGCCTTTGGTTTAGTGTTGCATTCACAAAGGCATACTTGTTTCACATCGGTATGGCAGGCACCCCTACATGGGACTCCAGCGGAGCTCAAGAGACCATCGAAAACGTCCTGTACAGCTGCGACACCCAGCGATGCCAGCTCCGGATGATATTGAACCAACTGCACTCTAGACCATTTTCTGGTGCAGGAAATTCAGGGATCTTAATATTAAGCGACCAAAGCGCTAGTGCAATACCTAAACACAACAAATATGAGCGACCGCTTGTAGACTGCGTTAGCTCCTCCGAGTGTGCTACTGATTGCGTGTACCTTTCTTCTCTTTCTCCTATCTCTTTTCTCCCCTTTATTAATTTCTCCTAGTGCAGGATTGGAAACCGGACATGCGTCTGGTTAATTACCCTCCCTGCCTTTCCTTGCTTCTTTAGCTTTCTCTCTCCCATAGCTAATGCGGTGGCTGACAGCGATAATTATTCTCCCGCTTTGCGTCCCCCTGGGCCCATAACTGCTTCGGTGGTTTCCTCGTATCTCACAGCGCTGCATTTGAAGAAAGCTATAACTCTTAGTTTTTGACACATCTTAAGACAGTAATTATGAGCAAGCTGTGAAGGGGCGACAGATTCATACAAATGGCACTCAGATGACCTGGCAGGAAAGATGTAAGCAAGCAGCATAAACTCCCCAGTGAGAAAGAAAGAAAAAAGAGGAAAGCAGGAAGGTTAGCCTGTGCGAATTTCATTCTTCAAGGAACATACCTGAGCAGTACGTGGCATTTGGAGTTTGCGTCGATCCTGCCACAAGTTTCAGCAGAGCTAAAACAAAGGCACCGGTAATCATACTGAACATAAGTGTTGCGGAATCTGTTTACCGCGCCAGTAAAACAACGTTTCAGCTGCCAGTGATTTCGGTGGTCTTCATCACACAATTTATACACGGCAGCACATCCGTTGCTGAAAGCATTCGTCTGCATTGCACAATTTTCCACAGGATGTACCATTCGAGTAACGACATCAACCCTCTCAACATTCATGCGCGCACCTGTTTACCCTGCATATGCAAACACGTTAAAGAGGTCATGACACCCAACTTTCGACCGTAATCTGTGTAGTACGGGTTGGTCCGCGTACGTTCACAAACAATATGGCTAAATTTCAGCGTATCCGGCCGTGCCGGTAGTTTATAATTAAATATTTTTATAAACGAGCGAGTGGCCTGGTGGTCGGACAACACTGGCGCGCTCGCTAGCCGTGACGTAACAAACTGCTTGCTCCGCGAGCTTCTACATGGTGGGCAGTCCAGTGGCGATCGTGTTTCATGGGCAGCTGCGCTTGCAATCAAGTTGTTTCAGCGTTTTGGAACGTGCCACTGGAACTAAATGACTTGCAGTGGTAGAAGCAATGCATGCTGCGCTGTGGGGTGCCAGTGTGTACAGAGCTGGGAGAGTACTAGCGTCACACTGAGTACATGCCGTTTGCTTCAGATAATGTTCTGAATCTTCAGAACAAATGTAAAAGCAACGGTCAGTGCGCGCAGCATTGTTACCACCACTTAATAAGTCGGGCATACACGTATTGTAGCAAACAAAGGTCTGCACGCCTTACCAATTCCATTGCGCAAAGAGTGCTCGCGAATGCAGTGTCTCTTAATCGTTAGGCTCGCTTATCAACCTGGCACGCTTGTAATAAAGGTACTTACCATTGTGGAAGGCCGTCAGCAACGTCTGCCGCAAAAGCGAGGTCGTTTGCATCTGGGTTTGCCCCACCTTCGACGCTTTGTTCGTCGCTCGAGCTGGTAGCGATATGGTCGAAATCAAAATGGGTAGCGTACACGGCGTCATTGTCGCTTTTGCTGCTCGATAAATCATTGCCCGAATCTTCAGCTGATGCTGGTGCCTACGACATGGTGATGGTACCGGTACCACTTCGCAACACTTGCGACACGTGCGGACCACGCGGCAAGCAACACTCGCCACACAGTGAACAAACTGACCGCGTGCCGAAGGCCCGAAGGTGGTGGCGTTTGGTAGCAGTTTACGGCACTGCTACCATCAGTTTGTGACGTCACGCACGCCACGGCAAAATGGCAGTCACCGGTGGTGGGCGAATTTTACAGCCGAAGACTTCCACGGCTTATTTTAGAAATAATCTTTCACAGTCCCGTTTCAACACGTGTACAAGCATACTTGACCCTCTACCTCCATTTTTCGCCGAAAACAGCTAATTGTTGAGTGGAGACCTCTTTAAGATAGAAGTGCACAGTAGATAACTCCACAGTATAAACGGTGTACATGTCTACCTTGTAAAGAACCAAAGCTTTTGTGAATGAGCAAGCGGTACGTGTGGTTATCTTCATAAAATCAAAATTTAAAGTTCTGGTTTCATGGCGGCAAGTTTTGGCTACTTCGGGCCAGCCTTTAAATATTATGATCCGGTGGCCGCAGACATCATCAATCAATTAACCAACGATTCAGTCAACTTATTTACCATGTCGGAAAGTAGAGGGCCCTAAATATATCTTTTGAGCTTGACTAAACTTCCCAGTAGATTACCAAAAGGAATACCCTGTTTAAGAGGTTACTATGATCCTGCGACCACTCTGTGAATAAATGTTTTAGGGGCGCCCCGCCGCGGTGGTCTAGTGACTAAGGTACTCGGCTGCTGACCCCCAGGTCGCGGGTTCGAATCCCGGCTGCGGCGGCTGCATTTCTGATGCAGGCGGAAATGTTGTAGGCCCGTGTGCTCAAGATTTGGGTGCACGTTAAAGAACCCCAGGTGGTCGAAATTTCCGGAGCCTCCACTACGGCGTTTCTCACAATCATATGGTGGTTTTGGGACGTTAAACCTCACATATCAATCGAATCAATCAATCAATGTTTTAGGGGCGAAGCTCCTTAGGGTGCGGGTCGTTCCCTACTCTCTCATAGTATGTGTTAGTGGCCACTTCTAGTTAGTTTCAAGAACTGCTTACTAGATGGCGCGGTGTGTATATGTCCTTGGAAATAATCTCACTGGATGACGTTAGTGGTTTTAGTATAGTTGACGAATAAAGAGGATAGATGGCACTGTTATAATAAGAAATCAACATATCCACGGAGTAAATGATGATGATAGGGGCGAAACGTCCATCCATCCGTCCGCTAGCGTTCCAATAGTGCTACGGCCCTCCCCCTACTCTGATGTGTGCTCTAGTGTGATAGAAGCGGATAGACGGACGGACTGACAGACAGACACGAACAGACGGAAGCTTCGCCCCACTCATCATCATTCACTCCATGAATATGCAGTGAATTTTCACACACACACACACGCACACACACACACACTCACTCACTCACACACTCACTAACTCCACCTCGCGGTGAGAGCTCGCGAGACCGAAGACGCCAGCATTAGCAGCAACTAAAGAGTCAGTCCCAGAATCGATTCGTAGGCGGCGGCAGCACCGAGGACTCGCGCAACTGAAGCTAACCGAGCTCGTCAACAAGCGGATGCCGAAGGGAGAGCCCGAGAAGCAGAGGCGGCACGCAAGCAGCCGCAAGAGTACCTAGAATAATTGACCAATAAAAGAGCGAGGGATTGCGGAATGCACCGTCTGCTACCGGATTCTGGTTCGAGGAGAATACACGACG